TGTTCCAAGGTCTGGCACAGATGCAGAACTCCATGTTCTGCAGGACAGCAGGAGTTAGAAAAGCAGTAGCAGTGCTATCTGAATGTCCTCCTACACCCTCAGCTGCTCCCAGGCTTGGGCTGTACCTGCATATTCCACCCTATCTGGCATAGATAGGAGATTTTTGAGAGCAAACACTGTCTTGTTTTACACAGCAGAGGTCAAGGCAATAATCCCAACGGTTACCTTCATGCTACTGTAATGCAAATCTTAAGAGCCTCTATTTGCTTTCAAATGCAGTCACCTGGTAGACTTGGCATCCTGGTTTTGACATTGCAGTGTTCGTGCTGTCTGGAGAGAAGACTTACTAAACCAATTAACTAAATTATTCTCCCTCCAGAAAATATGCAGCCATTTCCTCTTCGGAGCAGCGTCAGAGTTACAAAAATGACTTCAATGCAGAATACAACGAGTACAGAGACTTGCACGCTCGGATAGAGAGGATAACTCGACGGTTTACGCAGTTAGATGCCAAGCTGAAGCAACTTTTGCAGGGCTCTGAAGAATACAAGGTAGAAACAGAAATCTGTCTTTCAAAAAGCTATTTCCTCAAGTGGCGATGCTACAGCTCGTTTTAATCACTCTGTACGCAGGGCTGTTTGGGATGGGTTGGTGTCTAAAACATACTGCCCAGAGCCCCAAACTGGTGGATGTGGAACGTGCACACAGCTGACAGCTTTGTAGACTGTTCTTAAAACAGCTCTGTGTTCTTTCGTTTTCAAGCTGGAGCACACATCATGGTACTTGTTGACAAGGAAAGGCCTCAGTGAGACAATTGGCGTCTTTAGCCAAAAGCTGCTGGAAGCTATTAGTGTATCCCAGCCAGAAAACTCATATTCGCACATATGGTAGCGTATCGGGGCTGGAAGGGGAGTTAGTACGGGGTCATCTGTTTCTCTGGAATCTTTGATCTTAATAATGTAGCGTTATTCGACTTGTCAGACTGATTTTAAAAGAGCTTTAACTATTCATTATCTTGAGAAAGTAAGTCTCATTGAGTATAATAAACAGATTTTTACAGAGCACCTATTGTACTAAGCACTGTTTCCTCCCTCAAACATCCTTCCCCTCTCTTTGAGAAATTCAGTGATGCCTCACCGAATTATTTTTATATCTTGGGGAAAAATTAGTCTGAGCTTTGGAGGAAATATCAATTACCCTGCCAGCCCAAGTGCCTGTTTCAGGTAGTTCTCATGGCTGGGGAATGGGGCCTGATCCTTCCAGTGCTTCTGGTGGCAGCACCAGTATAGGAATGGAGTCAGTGAGGCTGGGGAGCCATCAGGGGGGGGGGGGGAAGTCGTGGAGGGGGTGGATTTGTTTGGGTTGGTATTTAGAAGAAATGTGTACATTCAGCTGTCAGTAAATGGTTGCCTACTGCGGTAGGTTGCAGGACTGTTGGTTCGCTTGAAAACAATAAGCTGTCTTTTCCTTTTTAGACCATCCATGATCAAATTTTACAGGAGTATCGGAAAATTAAAAAGGTAAGTAAAAAAAAAAAAAAACCTACAAAAAAGGCTCTTGGGTGGCGCCCCTAGTGCGACTGAAAGAGATGGGTACTTGCCAAGTGAAAAACCCAGTCTCTGAAGCTTCATAGCAGATTGTTGTTCAGCTCGAGCTTGTCCAAAGCGTGATCCCTTCCCAATTCAGAGAGGATTTGTGGGGACTTGAGGCTGCTCCTTGGATCCTGGGTAGCATTCAGTTGCCTTAGTGGTGTGCTAGGCCAAGAATGAATGTGTTAAATTAGTGCTTTTATCCCGTCAAGTGAGAGAACAGTTTGTATTTGGGATGCACGGGCTAAGTGATAACATGATCCTCTGGGTCTTGGGGTCTGCTGGTATATTTGGCATGATTTGAGCGCAGTCTCTAGTGTGAGTTGCTTGGGTACATAGTCCCCTGCGGGGCTCAGCATGGTTTTTTGGTGTGTGGGGCACGCAGAATGCTTTACATCTCTGTATGTATATATAAAGCATCAGTTGTTGACTGGAGGGATTTATGGTGTAGCTGGATGAGGTAGAAATGCCAAGGCAGGCAGGGGCATCCATACACCAGGGGTAGGGTTTGTTTTGGTTTTTGTTTTTTTTTAAATCTACAAATATGGCCCTGAACTCTGCTGTCCCTGAGGGATTTTTGGAGCTTTTTGAAGGGATTCCCTGCGTGTTCTAAGTTCAGCTTTGGTTTAAAGCTCCCAGGCTTGCACAATTCAGTGCTAGTGTGGGGGCAAAGGGCAGGCGAGGTTTGCTGGAAGCTGAGGTGTGGCCCAGCTGCCCCGAGTTAGACTGAGCCTTGCTCAAGGTGCACTCCTTTCCCTGTGACGAGGCTCCTGGAGCTGGGTATCCATGAAAAGCAATTTTGTTCTTTGCCTCATTTGAAAAGAGGAGGCCCATTTTAAATGGGTATCTACTCCTCTAGCTTGAAGAGCTTCATTCCTTGGTCGTGTATTTATGGTCTGAGGTCCGATAGCTGTGTCTGAGTTCAGCATAGGTGTCCCGAGTTCTGAACAATTGCCTTCCATCACTGCATTTTCATTTTTTCTTTACAGACTAACCCCAATTACAGCCAAGAGAAGAACCGCTGCGAATACCTCCACAACAAACTGGCTCATATTAAAAAACTGATAGCAGAGTATGACCAACAGCAGTTTTAGCTGGCACTAATCTGGACTCAGTAGGGCAAAAAAGTCACCTGGACGTTACGTTCCCTTTTATACAACTAGATTCCTTTCAGAGACGAGCATTAATTCCTCGTGGTTGAAGAATTTGGGGATTACTTACGATGCCGAATCTGTCATGTCTGTGTCTGAGCCGGGCTGCAAGCCCTGTGCCTGACACGGTCCTCTCGAGTTTTAGCCTCTCTGAATGTTGGAATGTAACAAATGGAAAAAAAAAAAAAAAAAAAACCTCCTTATTTGAAGCCAGCGTTTGACACTTAAGGGAAAAGTTGCCTAAAGTGAACGAAGCTCCCAAAGGTTAAGAATCAGTAGTTTTCATGGATTAAAGTTTGGCATGAAGTGTAATTACCCCTGGCCCAGGTCCACTGGGTTACAAATTGTCCAAATGGTGAGGAACTGGAATGCTGCTAGGTTACCTCCTTCTCTGGCACCTGCGACTGTTCATATGCAAGCTGTCTGCTCTACATGGCACCGTGTTAAATACACCAAGTACCCAGAGCTCTCGTTGTTTGTTCCTGCTTTTGTCATCTCCGGTGTGTGCTCTTTTGAGGTGGTTGTGTCGGTAGGAGGGGATCAGCCCGGGGATCTGCGCCGAGTTCCTTGTGCAGTGCAGAGGTGGATCCTTCATGTTGAAAAACAAAAAACCAAACAACACCTTTCTTTCTTTTTTTTTTAAATCTGCTCGTGCGTTTATAAGCAGCAGGCGTAAACATTTTGCAGTGGCCTCTCCAGCATGCTCAGTCCAGTCTGCCTGCATTACTTTTCACATACCAATGCTGGGAAGATTGAGACCTGTCTGTCTTTGACTTTTATAATTTTATACCAAGGCAGCCAATTTTATTAATTGCTAATGAGACTATGGTCTATTTTTGTATTTAAAAAAAAAAAAGCATCTTTTTCTAAAACTGTGCCTCCCTTTTCCTTTTAGGCCAAGTGTTTCAGAACCTTTTCTGTCTTATAACTGCAGTATTACTAAAGCTTATCTGCTAGTTACCCAGAGAAGTTATTTTATTACCTGTACTGACCCATAAGAGGGGAGGGGGGCGGGGGATGCGATGCTTTCTTCTTCTGTTTTTTGTGCATTTCCAAAGAAGCAGCAGCAGAAAATCATTCTCAGAACAGGCGCCCAAGCGTGAGAGAAGTAAGGTAGCGTTTTCCCATGCGGGTCACTTCCACTGTTGTGCTTTATCTAGCCAGTTTCTCCGTGCAGTCTTTCTTCTTGATTTCTTTCTCTTTTTTTTTTTTTTTTGGACTTGAAGGGAACATTTTTAGAGTATGGCCAGGGTGTGAGAAACACGCCAAAAAGCACAAAGGTGTCCTTTAACTCTGCTATTTCTTTCTCTCCCCTCTCCCCTTTTAATCCTGCCAGCCTGTGTGATTTGACTTCTTCCCGCTTCCGTTTATCTCAAAGTAAAGGATTACTTTCCTGTGGTGTCTCCTTCCCTTGGAGGTTGCACTGAAGAGTCTTTCACCCTTTGAAGGAGCGGAATGGCAGAGTTAAGGAGGGAAACAGTTCTTACACAAGGAGTATTTTATTTTTTTCCACCCCCCAAAAACAAAAAAGTGGGTCCATCTACTGTATTATTAAAAAAAAAAGAAAAAATAATAATCATAATTCCATTCTGGCTAGATTGGTTTTGCTGCGTCGTCTGGCCAGGGCCACCGCTTTGCTTTGTCGCTTGCAATGTTCTGAGTTTCTCTCCCTGCCGCCTCACATCCAGCGCTCACCAGGACTTTGCCATCCTGTTCTCCAAACGAAAGCCAACGGCTGAAGGGACGGGGCTGAGCTGTGCGTTACTGGCCCGGTGACCCTCCAGCTGTGGTCTACAGACTGCCACTGGAAAACCCAAACCTGTTCAGAAGCGGAGCGGTGAAGGAGCAGGGGAAAGAGATGTGATGTCCAAGGAGCGCGGCAGTCCGTAGGGTGAGCACCCCAGAGAGCCCTGCTAGGGAAATCCTGACAAGCATCTCAGGACTTGGGGAACACTTCGATCCTGTCTCTTCCTCTCCGAATAAAGACGACTGGAGGTTAGGGAGCTGTTTCTCTTGCAGGCATACCTGTTTGTGTGATGCCGCCTGTCTCCTGTGCTGGAAAACACACCAGAATTAAAGGCGAGGAGCTTTTGGCCAGAAAAACTTTGTCGGTGCAGGTCTTGCACCTGGTCGGTGCAGTTCCTTACACAGTAAGCGGCAGCTGGTGACTATTTCTGACCTCAGGCCTTGCTTAGGCTCCCATTCCAGCAAACTTCCCGTGGCCGTGAATGTGCACCGAGGTGGATTTCACCGGAGCTGCAGGAATCCGGGAAGGAGGCGTTCGGCTGTGTGGAGGAAACGGGATGCCACGCTTTCTCGGACACACTGTGGGATTTGTCGGTGACAGACCCGTGAGGGGCATCGCCAGCCGGCGGTGACACACATTTCGGCTGAATTTCCCGGCGCTGAGCCGCGGGGCTTGGTGGGACCTTCATCTCCGACTGTGGTGTGCGAAAAGCCCCAAACTCGGATGGCAGAAGAGGTAGCAGCTACAAACCCAGGATGAGTAAATTCTTCCATGGAAACACTTCTCCTTCTGATCCTTAATATTTTGAATGGGGTTTGGGTTTTTTTTGTTGTTGCTTGGGGGGGCGGGGGATAGAGATGGATCTCAGTCTTTATACATCTGCTATAAGATATTTTTGCAAACAGAGTTGTATACAAAGATGTATTGTGTACATTTACATGTATATTCTGGAACTTCTAAAATTTGAATATAAAAACTGAAAATATTTAATGAATATCCAAACTGTGAGACCCAATTAGCATTCAACAACTTTCTGCTTCACTTTTCTTTTGGACTGTGTTAAAGAATTGTAGTAGAATCTGCCTTTTTTTTTTTTTTTTTTCCTTTAGAGATTATGAAGCTAGGCAAATTTTGTGCTTTTTGGGTTAATAGAAACCAGTTCTAGGTGATTAAGTATGATCTTAACTTATTGATACTGTGTTTTACTTTGTAATATTGTACTGTGGATAAAACTATATTGAGCCATGGAGTTGGAGTTTACAAAAGAGCTTTTCACTTTGCCAAAATGTTACAATTTAAAGGCAGCATAGTCTTCAGCTTTCCTAATCTTTTCTTAAGAGCTAGTGTCTTTTTTGTACACTAAAAAGCTGAATGCTGATTTTGCAACATATAATAAATTCACTGTATTGGAAAACAAGCAAACAATAAGGTTGTATATTTCTTTTCAGTGCTTCTTACTGCAAGAGAACTCGGAAAGGTGATAAATGGCTGGCATGGAGTTTGAAAGCAGGAGACTTAAAGGGACCGAGTCAGTTGAGGGAGTTAAAGTTATTGGAGCAGTAGGTAAGAAACACGAGAAGGAAAAGGTGCTCAGCGTGGGCCATCTATTTTCTGGCCACTTGCCACATACGGGGAGAGCCCTCGCCCAGAAATGCTGCCCTGGAGCAGCCTTGCTGGGATCAGCATCTCTGTGCAGGAGCTGGGGGTCTTCCCACCCCCGTGGCAGCAGCACCCAGGTTTTTTGGAGGAGGAAAGGCTGCTTTCAAAGAGGCACCCATCACTGGTGTCGGTGTGGAGGTTTGGCTTTAGAGGGATGTCCTATGAGTGCGGGAGGCTGGAGCGTGTATTGCCCTGGGCAGACAGCAGGAGCAGCAGGGGGACTTGGAGGTGGTGTGGGCAAGCGAGGTCCTTGCTGCTTCCCTTGGGATCGGTGATGCTGCGACTTCCAAGGTGATGGTGGCTCTTTCTGACAGCATGTAGCCCTGGTCTGGGGCTGCTGGGGAGGGTCCAGGCCTGGTTCAGGTGCCTCTGCTCGGCCACATCTGCGGAAGGGGCTGCTGCCTTTCCCTGCCGCTGAGCTGAGCTGGGTCTGATGTCGGAGCTCGCTTGCGTGGGGGGGTGAGTCACATCCATAGGGAGCTGGAGCAGTGATGTGGATGCTGCTGGAGCAGTGACGTGGGGATGAGCCTGGCATAGACTTTGCCACTGTGCTGCCTGTCCATGCTGCTGGAGCTCCCACCTCCACCCACGGGTCTGAATCAGCCGGCTAAAGCTCAGGATGCAAATAATACAAATAGCATCTCGGTTGTATTGAGACTTTGTCCCTTATTTCTGTTGTCGTGATGGCTGCTTGCTCCCGTCCTGGGTCTGCTGCTCAGTGTGGCTGGAGCAGGCAGAATTACAAAGCAGAGTATAAAACCACTCCAGTGACTGCTCGTACCAAAATCTGCTCCTGATAGCTTCTGGTTTCCATCAGTGGTTGCTGTGCTGCCTGCTTTGGGATCCCCTCTACCCGTGGGTGACAGTCACAGGTTCACTGGGCTCGAGACCAGAAGCGGTAGCATAGGTTGTGCTTGATCCACTCGCGTACGTAACGAGCTTGTGTTCATCTACAGCTCGCTTTGCTTTAGTGCAGGATTCTGGTTCTGCCTCCAAAATAGCAAAATATGGAGAAAGGGAAAATAACCCAGCTATCAAATAACATCTTACAAATGCCTTGGCTGTTTTTTAAGGTGGGGGGGACCAGGGGAGGCTCTGCTTGGTCCTGTCTCGCCAGCCTTGACCTTGGAGTTGACACAACAGCATGAGCACCCGTGCAGGCAGGCGATGCTCCCACGGCTGGCGAGGGTTTGCTCCCACAGGGCACTCGGTTACAGAACAAAAGCTGAGACACGTTGGATGAGCTGATGCTCCCGCAAATCCCTAAATCATCTTTTTTTTTTTTTTTTTGTAGTTCCAAATGCCACCTCTGAGCCAAGCCACGCACCCCGGGCCTCTGTTTTACCATCTTTAATTCCTTATCCGTGTGAGCCTCGCCCCTGGGATGTTCATCCGATGAAAGGCTGTCCCCCGTGCATGGGGACGCTCACGCGGGATGGGTCCCCGTCCCTTCCTGTCCCGTCCCAGCTTTCCTGGGGAATTCCTCTCAACCGCTGGCAGCTCCTGCTCTGGCTGGGGTCAGGCACTGAGCTCATTA